CATTACACTGAGTTTAATAGATACAAAGGCCCTGAACAATCAGATTTATCATGTCCTAATCGTCCACAACAATAGTAGTAGTCGCTCAATCGTTCATATTTAAGATCAATTTTTTGGTCTAGGAAGCCATTTGTTAGGAGCCAAAAGAATATTACCAATGGTTGTCCAAGGTCGATTTCATCTCTTGTTCTGATCCTCTCCTAGATAATCCAGCACTTGAGCAATAAGACGTGCATTATCATATCTGGAGGGAGACCATGGGCTTGAAACCAGAAGGGGGAGTGTGTGAAATCCATTTCTGAGGTCCGGGTGTTGGATACCATTGTTTAAGTACTATACTAGTCGCCCTTTCAGTGACCAAAGGCTTTGGTTAATCAATCTTGCTTCAAGTCATTAGATGCAAATGTGAAGATATATGTATCTTGTTTTCCAGCTTGAATTTCTACCTGGTTCTTTACTTTCCAGAATTTTTTGAATATGAACTGTAAGGGGTAGAAATCGTTACGGATCTCATCGCTCCACTTGAAGGATTCCGGCTGACCTAGCGGCACCAAGCCCCAGTAGCCTTTACCTCTCTTCGCCAATATGACCCTTTCTTAAGGCAATCCCACATCGGAAGAGAGCCGTCTAATCCCCTCGCATATAAGCCCTTGCACTCAAAGGAGGAGGTATCCACCAGACACCTGATCAGGTCACTAGTGGGTACCTTCTCCTTTGAGTGCAAGGGCTTATATGCGAGGGGAAAAGACGGCTCTCTTCCGATGTGGGATTGCCTTAGGAAAGGATCCTATTGACGAAGAGAGGTAAAGGCTACTGGGACTCGGTGTCGCCAGATCAACCAGAATCCTTTAAGTGGAGGGATGAGATCCGTAACAATTTCTACCCCTTACATGAACTTTACAACATTATGGTTGAGTAGCTTGTCTAAGAGAACTTTTTCAACCAATCATGACTGTTTGAGAAAGTTTGCAATGGAGTTATCCAATAGCAGTTTGATGGTGATTGGCTTAGGAGAGGGTATAATCTGGCTACACTGTGCATTTGACATCCTTTCTCGTTCACAGGATGGTTGAGTGTTTTATGTTCCGTTTCAAAAAATAAAATGGTGAAAAGTTGGAAGAATAAAAAGTTAGAAGAATAAATAAAATATTATATTTGGTAAAAAAAGAAAGGAAAAAGTATGAAAAAGTTGATGGTTTAACTTTCTTTCTAACTCACCAAAATCAATCCCTCCAAAACTAGAAAGAAAGTGAGTGAAAAATTAATTATTTATATTGAGATTTATCTTATTTGTCTATATATCTTTTTATATATACATATATATATTATGTATATATTAATTTCATATAAAAATACAATAATAAAATATGTATGTATATATATATATATATATATATATTAAAAAATTTTAAAAATAAATTTAAAAATAAAAATAATAAAAAATAAAAAATAATAAAAATAAAAATTTTAAATTAAAAAAAATATTTTTTTCATATTAACTAATGACACGACTTGAACTCAATACAAAAATAAACAGGTCAACTCATAACTCGACACGACACAATTAGTTAAATGAATTAAGTTAGATTTGACTAATATTCGACACAAACCCGTAATGACTCAACACGAATCTGACACGATGCGACTCGATTGTTATCCTTAATCTTAGCTGGCATAAAAAAAAATAGTTATTTTTATTTTTTATCCATCCAACCAAATACAAAGGAAGGAAAGTGTATCCTTCCTGTTTTTCATCCTTGAAAAATAAAAAATTTATCCCTCATATTTTCCATCGTCTTTATCAAACGGAGCATTAGGATTTTTGTTGTTTGTGTATTTGTTTGTTGATGGGTTTTCAGAGTGTAGGAGAGAGGGGACTGCAAGTGTGCTTAATGGTTGGTTAAATTTGAGGAGGCGGTGTATCGAGTAGTCAGAGTGAGAAAGGTGACAAATGTGGGTTGAGATTTCTCATAATATATGGTGGGAATGGGAAACAGAGAAGGAAATGGTGTTGAGAGATCTCATATCTTACCTTGGGATTGGGAAGCCTACTGGATAACGAGGAAGGATGAATGACCTTCACTAGGTTATCTCCATTGAAGGGGGGTCTAAAGATAGACAGCATTTGTCTCCCATGGTTTGAACTTGAATCTTTTCTTTTGGTGCAAACTTTGCTTTCTAATTTAAGGAAAATACTATTTGGAATCCAAAAGGTGACACTATTTGTTGGCTCTATCGATCACAATTATTAAATATGTAATGAATTTCAATAAATGCTAGGATCTATAATTAAATCAATGATAGTGATTAATAGAGTCATCAACTAATATTAATTTTTGGAGTCCAAATAGCATTATTCCTAATTTAAAGACTACATTTACAGTTTTTTACTCAGTAACTCTGAGATATTCAGTTGAGTAATGTCATACCGGCCGAAAAAGAGCACCAAAACTAGAGCTCAAATAAACAAATAAAAACATTGATGTTTCAATGCCACGTCATTTAGTCTCTATGTCTCATCTATTTTTTTTTGTTAGTGTAGCATTACTCTAGTCGATTTATGCATGTGAATTTTTTTTTAGATTTTTTTCACTTTTTAGTACCCAAAAAAAAAAAAGAAAAACAAATTTGTTTGCTAGCAATTTTCTTGTACTACTTTTTTTTTTTTGGTGTTGTTCTTAGTTTTGTGTTTAGTTTATAATTCTCGGTTGTAAAATATCCACATTTTTTTTATTTCATGTATCGTTGGATTCGTGACTATCATGTTTTTTTTTTTTTTTTGACCAAAGTGACTATTGTGTAAAAGCTACTACGCAAGATATGTATGGTTATGCTTATACCTAAATTGCACGCATCGGACCAAGTAAGACATGTGAGATCAAATTTAAAATCTCGAGATATTAATCATTCCCTAGTGTATTATGGATGGCAGTTCAATTGAAATTTGAAAAAAAATAAAAATAAATAAGAGCCTGTTTGATTTGCGTTTTAAAAAATAATATCCGAAAACAGTTTTTAATAAGAGTTTTAAGAAAGTGCATTTTGATGTTTTCTGAGATAAAAAACTTATTTTGTTAGATGATTTCATAAACAATTTTACAGAACAAAAAATAGTAAAATCTGTTTGGACAACTTAAATATATGTTTAAACAGTAATTCAAAAATTAAAAAAAAATATAAGAAAATTATTTTTAGATTGATAATTTCATAAAAAAATTCAATAAACCAAACTTTAAAATAAACCAAACATATTCAATAATATTCATCAAAAAAAATATATAAAAAAAAAATATATCAATGACATTCATCTAAAATAAAAAAAAATATGCGAACACCAATAATTTTTTTTCAAAAAAAAAAACAAATAACATCGAAGAATACTCAAACAATCACACAATATATATAAATATACACAAAAATATATATATATATATATACACACACACACACACACATCACTCACACAAAACACACACACACACATCCATATATATAATATATAATACGACAGGCACACACACACCACACAACACACACACACACACACACACACACACACACACACCACACACACATATATATATAATATATACACACACACACACATATATATATATATATATATAATAAAACATGAGTGTGTTTGAATTTTATCCCAGTCATATTTTTCCCCTCGAAACCATCACCAATCACTTATCTCACCCGTCATCCTTTTGTCAGACTCAAACGTCAAATCACATCACTCATTTCTATCATATATTTAATCATTTATATATTTTTTTCATAAAAATATCATATCACTCATTTCTATCATATATTTAATCATTTAATATTTGATTAATTTATAATTAATATATTTTGAAAAAATTTAATATAATGGAATCAATTTTTTGGACGCTTGAATTTTATATTTTATCGTGCCTTCAGGCACGGGTTATGACTAGTATATATATACACATCACCCAAATTTGAAGAAGATCAACACATATTTGAAGGACGTTGGAGTCGACATTGGAGCAAACACAGATCTGAACCCAAATTACGTAAACTTTTCGCCGGAGTGTGAAGAGAGAAAGATGAGAGAGAGAAAGAGAAAGAGCCAAAAAAAAATAGAGAAAGACAATAATTTTTTTTTTTGAGCAATGCTATACGGACCTTATTTGGAAGTCTAATTTAGGGACCTAATGATGTAATTTCAATGTAACAATTGAATTAGTTATGAGTTCAATGTTAAATGGAGCTCATAACCAATCCAATTGTTATATTAAATTAGGTCCCTACATTAGGTCCAAATAACATTTTTTTTTTCTTTTTAATATTTGGATATGTTTTGTTGCTAAAAAAGTTTGAAGGGGAGATCTCATTAATGAGGAGTGGGTTGTTCTCCGTGTTCTCACATTCACATTTTCTTTTTTTTTTGTCTGTAAAACACATAAAACAAGTTGGGCTTATTTTCAATTTTTTGTTTTCTACGTCTATCTTTTCCTAAAATTTGGAGAACAAAAATTCAAACCAAACAAGTTTCTCTTGGTTTTTAGAAATTTGAGATCAAAAAATTATTTTCAAACTTAAACCAACCAGGCCCTAAAGATCTCAAAACCAATAGGGCTGATAGTAATAGATACAAAAACGTAAATAACATTATAATATATGAAATTACATAGCGGATCAATGGTTAGGCTGGAAATTGTTGAACCATTGAACCTTGCATCACCTAAACTGTGTTTTACTAAGCAGCCAAGCTTACACCCAAATATCCCAAACTTCAACCGAGGTCATCCATTAGCTAGGGTCAGGTGGTCTCCTCTAATTACGAGTACGATTTCATAAGACTTGAATGAAAGGATCGACACAGCTTGAATCCAATGTAAGAACTTCAATCAACATCCAGTTCTCCGTATTGATTAAATACCTACTTAAAAGCCAAAAAAAAAAAAAAAAAAGAAATAGAGGGAGAGAATTTGGAATAATGAAAAATACAAAGTCATTCCCAATGGTTCCAAAAACCCACAATCAATCTTCACCTAATTACCTCCTCTTGTTCTTGCTTCCAAACAACAAAGTAAAGTAAAACATAAGTCTGAAGAAAAACCCCAAAGCAACAGTGATCCACAAGCAACCCCATTTGTTTATATCAGTCACCCCAGTTTGCTTCAGTATATCCAGTCCTGTGGTCAGGCATGTCGAGCTAGTAATGTTGGTGCCCAAAGTATGGCTCATCGTCTTCAATAGCTGAAGCTTTACCGAGTTGGGAACAGCCCCTAATGGCGAATTATCGAATACCTGAATTCCCCTGACAAAACACTTGGCCGGATCATCAAACTCGTTTTGCAACACTCCTTGGTACGGATACTTTACTAGAGAAGCATAATGGAACCATAGCCAGTAAGGAGGGATTCGATCTCTGCTGATGAAGAAGCCACTGAAGAGGAGAAAGTAGGCTAAAATGGCGACCACAACAGTGTAACCCAACATCACATGAGAGACAATACCAGAAAGGAATGTCACGAAGGAGCTTCCGGCCCAGAACGAGGCGAAAGTGAAGAAGAAGAAGAACAAGTACCCGGAAAACCCGCCGGAGAGACCCACAGCCCAGAAGGTAATTGCAGAAAATGAAAATGAAAGGAATAGTAAAGAAGGAATGGAGATGATAGAGTGAGCAAGAACATATGATGAACGGCGATATGCATTATAAGCAGTCTCTCTCATGAAGATGTATCGTTCTTGAAGAAAGACTGGAATGGCCTCTGCACAAGTGTAGAATATTGTTGACATAGCAAAGGCGAAAAACCCAAGTCTTTCTTGAATGCCTTTTGGGGAATTATCAAGCTTCCAGAACATGGTGGCTAAGATTATGCCGGTCACCATGACAGCGCCTAATCGGATTCCAAAGAGCTCTGGTGATCGCCAT